TAATCACCACTAGATTGTTAACAGGTGGCTAAAAGTAGCTGTAGGTGACTAAATAAGAGAAGACCTAGGATGGATGGCTAGTAAGCTGATAGAAGAGAATTTCATGTAATATTTTTCTACTACTACAGAAGGTTCAAGTCATTTGAGAAAAACTGAATCATAACATGTGACCTTGTAAGTGTTCTGCTGAGTGGTGCATATCATATGAGACACACACATTCTTTCCTTTCTATGTACACTTAGTAAATTAACTCGACGTCCAGTGCTTGGGTATGATTTATCATCTTCCATACAGGGGAATTACGAGGACCTACTCTCTTGTCTTCCATATCCCATGTATTATCTGGTTTCACCTTTAACTATTTTTAACTATTTTTTTTTTACTACTAAAGTTTTTAGAGTCAAAATTTTATACCCAAATCCTCTATCCCCAAAGAATGCAGCAATTTCATCCGAAAGGCATATATTTTACTACTGTGACAGTCATTAAAGTCCACTACACTCATAACTCTAAAGTAGTTCTTTTATTGATGAACTGAATTGGAAAACTTCTTCCAAAATGACCAGATAAACTTCAGGGATCTTCTGATCCTATTGGGTAATGACAATTCAGTACTATTAGATGTTGTGACTATATCACAGATTACACGGCTTTAGCATTTAGAATAGGGGTCATCAAACTTTTTCTCTTTGGCTTTGTGGGCCATATGGTTTCTGTAACAACTACACAACTTTGCCTCATATCAAGAATGCAGCCACAGGCAACAGGTAAAGCAATGGGTGTGGCTTGAAACAAACTGGTGGTTACCAGAGTTGGGAGGTTTTTGTGGGGTGAAATAGGTGAAGGGGATTAAGAAGTATAAACTTCCAGTTATAAAATTAATAAGTCATGAAGATGTAATGTACAGCATATGGAATATAGTTGATGTTGTAATAACTTCGTATGGTGACAGATGATAATCGGACATTGCAGTGATCATTTCACAATATATATAAATATGGAATCACTATGATGTACACCTGAAACTAATATAATATTCTATGTCAATTACACTTCAAATAAAACAAGGAAAATAGAAATGGGTGTGGCATGTTCCAATAAAACTTTAACTACAAAAAACCAGGCTGTGGGTTGTATTTGGTGCATAGCCCATTGTTTGCTGACCAATGATCTTGACCAAAGTTTGATAAAAGCCATGCAATAAAAATTTCTATCTTTAGAATCATAGAATGATAAAGTTAGCTATCTCATAGCTTTAGTTTATGTGGTGTCATTTCTGACACAAGCAAGGAAGCAGCAATTTAAAGTTAATACCATTTAAGTTAAAAGAAATGCTTAAAGAGTCTACAAATGCAAACAGGTTAGAGAACAAAGAAATCTATTAATGGTAAAATACAATAACCACTTTTCCTCCTATATACAATACATTTTAAAGATCTTAGCTTCTCATATTGCTTCATCAAATCCCGTTATGGAACTATCACCCATACTTCTCTCTGCTGTCCTAAGTTATCTATATAGCTACTTTTCTACATTTCAAATGCATGCTTGGATATTTCCAATTGGCTCCCCTGCCATCATCTTGAATGCACATTGTACAAAATACACTTTCTAAAATTAGCTCTACTTTTAGACCTAAGAATTTTCACCAATATTATAACTATTCTCAAGCTGAAAATATTGAGTTAAAGAATCACATGATTATCTTTGACTTGTTTCTCTGTCTGCTTCTATTGTCTGCCACTAAGTTCTAAAATTATTTTCCTCTATTGTATGTTGAAAATCCATTTACTTTTGCCCATTCCAACTACTGTGGTTCCAGTCTGAACCCCCATTACTTCAACCTTGCGACAGTGTCCTAGCTGGCATCAGATCCATGCGTCTTATCTTTCTAATTTATTCTGTACACACTGACAGGTAAAACACTGCTTTCATCAGGTCCTTGCTGCTACCACTTATTGAACAAGGTCTAAAATACTGATCCTGACATTTATAGCTCTCTACAAAATCACCCCAGGCTCCAGCTCACATCTTCAGAGCGTCAATCTACCCATTCTTTTTGCAAACACATCTAATGTTTCTGTTTTTCTTACCTCAAATGCTTAATTATAGAATTGATCTTATTTTGTATTCTTTTATCCTTTCTACCTATTCTAATATTATGGTACAAGTCAAGTGCCAGCTCGTTCTGTATGTCTTTCTTAAACTCTTTAGCTTCAAATGATTGCTTTTGCAATGGACCAGTCTCAGTCTTTAACTTGTCCTGGTTGGATGATGTTACCAGTGATCTCATTTCCCTAACCAATTATAAGCTCCCTGGCTTGAACATCTTTATCCTTTCCTGACACTCTGACTCTTTCTACACAGTCTTCTGAATGCAATCACAGTCGAATGACAGACTGAAATCAGAAAGTCTGATGTATTAGAGAGGACACAGATAGCTTCTCTATTCTTTGCTGATAAATTCTAATCCTTACTATACAATTATTTTAATCATGAAAAAACAGCACAAGTTGTCATTTTCCACTCTCTGACCAGATAAGGACAAAGATAAAAATAGCAAGAATCTGACAGGTGAATCATGCAGAGTTCTGAAAACAGCCATGACTGTCAAAGGAAGAAAATTTTGCCTTTTTGCAATTAGCAAAAGATATTTCTACACTCTTAATTCTCAACATTTAATGTTTCTGTAGGAATATAGGCTCTAAGAAGAAAAATCTTTAATCCACCAAGGCAACAAAGAAAAAGATTATCTTCATATGGAAGTTAAAGGGGTTCTTCTGACTATATTTATACAGAAATGACTTACTACAATGCAACTTTCTCTTCCTAGATATCTTTAAAATAGGAAAGATTGCCAAGATAGAGTAAGTAGCCTAATGAGCATGCCAAGAGTAGAAAGCCTTACATAAGCACAGGCAGAAGAAGAGGCACCAGTAGTAGGAAACCCAGAATGGAACAATCAGAAAGGCAGGAGAAAGAAGCACTGAGGAAGCCGAAGACCCATTTTCACGGTGAGAGCGGGTCACAGGATTAGATACTACCAAGCAGTCATGAGGATGAGGAATGAACAGAGGTTTTCAGATTTGGAAATGAAAAGATTACCAGTAGTCACAGAAGAAAAGTTTTTATACAGACTGTGTGTCAAAAAACAAAACATCCATGTTAACATTGTTGCTTTTACACCTACTATGACCTACACGCACATTTGTTGGGGTCATGATCTAACAGGAAGGGGGAAGGAAGTCACATTTAATGAGCAAAGCACTGTGAGGACCATTATGTTCTCAGCCTCAGAGGAAGGAAATAAATAAACCAAGGTTATGTAGTTGTTAACTAATAGAGTTTGGAACTGAAGCTGTTTTTCACACTTGCACTGCTTCTACCATATCTCAGATTTCCCCCCAGTGGTATTCTATGAAAATATGGCTTTCATCTGTTTTACCTAATTTCATTGCACACTTTGATACCTGGGTGCTATCTGTGCGTAGATTGTAGAATATGAAAATTGGAATAATCCTAAAAGATCATTTGGTCTAACCCTCTTTTCTCTTCTTTTCCCCATATAAATAAACTGAGAACTAGGAAGATGAAGAGATGAAGACTTATGCTGTGTTAGTGAAGAACTAGGACTAAAACGTATGTTTCCTGCTTCCTGAACTCATGCCTGTTGTTATTATAAACTCTGTGTAGGACCCAAATTATATGTAAATGTATGCTTCATTCAAGGAGGAATTAGCGGGGCATGGCAAAAAGTTCTCATATCACTCAATTTCTCAATGAATGGTTTGACATGGGGAGAATGACTTTCAATTCTAAGTTTCTATAACTGTAAAGGAAGACAGCTAATTTTTAGCCAAAGCAGATGGTGTACAATACATAATGAAAATTAAGCATATAAAATAACATCTTAAAAATCAGCAGGTAGTTAATATTATTTGTAAATTAAATTTTATGTTTCAAATGAAGACTTCTAAAATGATGATTATGAAAATAGACTTTCACAAAAAAGAAGCTGTCTTTCTCAAATTAAAAAAGCAATCTTGTCCCTGTAAAGAAAAAGGGGTCTCAGATCAAATCAGCAAAAACCAGAATTCTATTCTGTATGTTCAGACTTTTGCGCCATCGTCAAATACATAACTACAAAATGAGGGAGCAAAACATGGTTTATGAATTAAATAAAGGTGGCTGCATATTCAATTACATTTCAGCTACATTTTAGGTATGTAACAGGAACTCACGCTAAAAGTCAAAATGAATAAAAATAACCACATACTTTCTAAAGACTGAATTTGCTACATGTATAAATAACAACATATTCCAAAGGTTGGAATGTAAGTGTTAGCCACAAAATCTAGTAAATAATCATGGCAAGTTGGGAACACTTCCATTATTCATTTCTGCAAGATTCCATGTTATCTGGTAGTTAAGCAGATTGCTGTTCACATACGGCAGATTTTGAGTACACAAATCTGCCATTTAAAAATCAGTACTTAATATGAACAGAATTGGGGATCACCATGACAATGTTAGGAATCTTACTGCTGAGAATTTCTGGGAAAGTTAACCAATTATATTACATTACATGCATGCACATACATAATGTGTATAGGCAAGGATGTAAGGGTCTTATTGATTGTTAAGGTGACAAGTAAAGTGTAATGAAATACTATGATTCAAAAACTAATAACAAAAAAACTAAGCTGCAGTGTACGCTCTCTGTCATAACCCTCTCAAGATCTTAGTCTGATTATCTCCTAAAATGAATGAGGGGAAAATTCGACCAGAAGAGTTATGGGCTCATGTCAAAGGACAAATGACACAATTTAAAAAGACAAGTTTCTGCGTAGTGGTGCTAAGTAGAATGAGTGGTAGCAGATTCATATCTGCTCTGCTCTGTTTGCTAAACACGGCATCAAAGTGACAAACTCATCAAGCTAGTGATTAAGGTAGTGATGTTGCAGAAATAAAAAACAAACTGTGAAATGGGCCCTCCCACCTCTTGCCTGTCGTCCAGGCCCACAGCCTTCCTGAGCTCCAGGGCTGTCCTGTTGCACGCTCCAAGGGACTAACTGGCACCGGCGCCATTTGTGAGTCTTCCATCTGTAAGAAAACAACAGAAGCCTCAAGGAGAGGAAGTAAAAATGCCTAGCAAATCTGAGAAATATGGTGGCATGAAAACATGACTTTGGCTACAGCAAACAGGAATTTATTAGACAATGCTCTTTCCTATCTAAATTTAATTTAGATCTCCATAAAAGGCATTATAAAAAGCAGCATTAAATACAAAAATACTTTCTAGGGCAGTGGAGACAAGAGTCTAGCATTGTCAAGTTCTACAGGAATATATTCTACCAGCAGCATTTAGCCTTTTTAATGATTAGCACTGCCAGCAGATGTACGAGACAGCACAAGAAATGATGCACTGTGTTTAATTAAACCATATTTGTTTTATATTCAAATTAAGAAACTGCATTCAAGTCGTGAGCTTTTTGTACAGTGCTCTTTGGGTTAGCGTTGTAGAAGTAACTCAGAAATTGCAATTATAATACACTTCATAAAAACAAATCCCCCAAATATATATACTTGGGCTAACAGTTGTCAATACTTGTATAAACGTGCAATTATACTTTTTGTCATCTCAGAATTAAATACAGATAAATTAAAATGGCAAATTTGCCATCAACTTCACCGTAAATTATTTTGTGATCACACATTCTATCAGTTGATGCTATAATATTTCATTTATTGTCAAGATTGCAATTATTTACCACGTCAAGTTTCAATTAGGTACTTTCTTTCAATAGTTATGAGGAAAAATTTCTCCAATAATTATCAAGATGATGATATATAGCTTCAATAACCTTAATTTTCTTTGAGGCGGCTACACATGAACAGAACAGACATCTTACTAGCATCATTGGATAAAGATGTCATTTTGTGAGCCAGAATGCTGGCATTTATGGGGAACAGGTGTTCCTTGGAGCCAGGAGAGGAATGCTCAGGCTATTCCTCCAAGCGTAAAAGAACTGCTTCCTAAAGCATATGTGTTTCATAATTATTAACCATTTTTCTGCATTTCTTATACTTTATATCAACATAAGAAATTTCCCCAAACTCCTAGAGCTAATAATACAGCTTGGAAATTTACACAAGTATTTGTCTCCCGAACGATAATTTCAGTAGCAGAGGCAAGAGGCAAGAGATAGCATATACATCCATCAACATCCCAAACTCCTCTAGCCTGTGGGGCAGTGTTGGCTTCCTTTTCTCACTGTCAGAAAGAATATGGACTTGAAGTGTTTGCTCAGTGCATTGATCACAATGCTTCTTCTTGAGCTCTGTTACCTGTAGCTTTGGCACCCTTGAGGGGCCTCACAGGCCTTCTCTTCATAGAGAGGATCTGTGCAGTCCCGGCCTCCATTGGCTGGCAGCTGGATGATGACCCGATGCCGAGACTGCTTCTTGACTACGGAGTCCCCTAGAATGAGGCAGCTTTTTAACCTCTGCACTTGTACTGATAAAAGAATCTCCAAATACCAGCCTGTGTGAAGAAATTACATTGCCTGCAGCTACACGTGCTTTGACATCCCCGAATGAGAGACTTCATCTAATCTAATCATTTTCTAAATTCTCCCAAAGACCGCTATAGTGAAAACCCAATCAATTTTTATTTAAAAAGGTGAAGAATAGGAATACAGTTCCATAGTCAACTAGCCTTCCTAATGCACAAAGTAATTGCTCTTTTGTATATTTCTTTCCTTTTGAGAAATATGAAGTCTAATTAATTCATTTCCCTCTACCTTAAGTTTATTTTCATGCCATTTCACACGGCCCTGTTTACCCCACGGGACTCATCCAAATCTAATGAATCTTCCTTAGGAGAATATCTTCAATGTTTTAATGTGAAATTTTATTTCTTTGTGATTCACTTAATTTGAAATGCATAACTTGTAAATTATTCTAGTCATTCATTATTCATGTTAAACAGTCTAAGATCTTCAGTTCATGTCGAATTCTAAACATCAGGGCTGTAAGTAGTGAAATAAAAGTGGTTTCCTACAGGCGGACTTTTTTAAGAAGCATTCAAAATAGCAATAATTGGAATTAGATAATTCTAAATTATGTTAAAAAATGGAAATAACTAAATTTACCTTCAGTACTATTGACAGAAAGATGTTCAAAATCTTTTAGTGTTAGAAACAGACAACGTATAAGATTTTTCAAGTTTAATAAAATATATTCCAACTTACAATGTATACACTTTAAGGGTGAACGGCTGCTACAAAAGAATTCCCTAAAGAATTATTTTAATAGAGCTCCCCTGATGCATTTATATTTTTCAAAAGATCATTAAATATTTGATAAGTAGACTACAGAAACAGAGAAATTTAGAAGGGTTAGTAGGCCCTAACAATGAAAGTTTAATCAGAAATGAAATGAAACATTCTTAAAGTTATAGTGTTGGTGGAAAAATATGACTTGACAATTAGAACTTTCCAATAATGGAAGATCTTTTCTCATGAAGTCAGAATATCTCTCCACATGATCTGGGCAACTGATTTCCAGCAACGTGGTCTGAAGATTCCTGTATTAGACTGGAGAACGGGTCAGACTAGTGATTCCTAAATGTCTGACTACATGGGAGAATTTCTTTAAAAAATGAAAACAAAAACAAACAGACTTCTTGGCCTATACTCAGAACCACTAAATTAATCTTTGGGAGCTGGGATTGGGAATCTGATTTTTATAAAGCTTGTCAGAGAATTGTGACGAAGAGCCAGGTCTGAGATCTACTGGAACAGATAGCCTTGTATGTCTTGTCCCAAAATAAGATTCTAGGATTCCCACGTAACTTTTTAGGATTATTCCTATGGTGGGAGAAACCTGTATTATCAATGATTATATTAACTATTTTAATGAATAATTGGAATACTACAGGTAATAGAGTAGGGAATTAGGTGCTGGAGGTAGGGGGTAGCAGAGAATTAAAGTATTTGAAAATACTGTCATGGACCTTTTTATCGTGACAATCGTAGTTTGAACGCTAGCTGTAACTTTTACATATTAAATATAATTTTTCTAGAGAAGATCTAAGCAATGCCTATAGGACTTTTAATAAAATTGCTAATGTGGTCTCCATCCATTATGTTGTCCAATGACCCTATTTTAAGGCCTAGGTGATAAATTTTTCTAATAATTCAGAGCTAGAAAAATTTTGTTTCCCTTGATAATCTGTTAAGAATCCGCTGTGCTTCTATTTTTTGCTTTGTTCATCAGGATCTCAGAGCTAATTTTTTTCTCAACTGCAGAAGCTTTCCTTGACTTTGATTTTCGAGTGTAATTTTTGTCTTCCTCTCCCTTGTCCTCTCTCCCATTTACTACTTGACTCCATTCTTCTTTTATACTTTCCATGATCTTTCCTTTGTCTCATGTTTATGATCTGTCTATAATCTTTTTGAAAGAATATACAAACTAAATGACCCTTGTTATTATCTGTTAAGCATTGGAGGAAGGAGAGAGGTGTTTGTTTGTTTGTTTAACAGGCAACAGAGGAAAAGAGCACAGAGGATCAGATCTTTGTCTCCCAGGTGGTCAAAACTCTTAGAGGCAAGAACTTTCCAGCCCTTCTCAACTTGCAGATAGAAAATAAACATGGGATTGAGACCAAGGGATCCAGAGACTGGCGGCGACAATGAGTTCAGCATCAGCGGCACCTTATCAGAAGCTCCTAGTCACTATCTATCTAGATATCACCTGGCACACAGGCAGGGCTGTTCAGATTTGGGAAGCAGCAATCAAATGTTAGTGTTTCAATTCTACTTTGTCTATTGACTTGAAAGCAAAAATGTCACCTAATATACAACTCTGAAACATTCTAGTGCTTTCACATCACAACCTCCACAAGTTTGTACTTGATATATAAGACTATGATAACTCTTTTCACTTCCATAACTGATTCCACAATGGCAATCCATTTATTCTTATAAAAAGTTGAAATATCTTAACTTTGTGCGGCCCACAGGATATAGATTGTGACCTGATTAAAGTGGAACATTCCAAAGCTATAACACCCAGAGAGGAAATTTAATGGAGTTACACAGGAAGTGTCATGACACTCATGTTTCTATCCTCCGGGGAGTTCATTTCTTCTCAGATCTCAGCAAGGAAACTACGTGTACACTCAAAGAAAGAGCAGTGTAGCGCTATCTCGGCCAGGTTATCGAGCCCTCAGATGGAAGCACAGACAAAGGGAGAGCTACAGCACAAGATAGAAAAGAAAGTGGAGCTGGAAAACTTGGAATTTTACAACCTTCATAGTTTCCTGTATGTACTTATACCCAATTTATTATATGTGGTTCATATACATATATAGTTTCCATTTATCTTTGTGTTTTAGCTCCTAGAACAATAGTCACACATCCTAAGTGCCTAATAAACATTTGGTGAAGAAGCAAACATATTTATTTCACTTCTTCTCAACTTGAATGTTAGTTAGCATCTTCTACATTTTTTATCCATTATCTTATGGTAGTAAGCACATGGGTACTAAGTCTGTGCATTGAGGATTAATAAAAAATAAGGTATCACTTTGTTCATTGGAAATAACGGGCATGGGAAAAGTAAAGGAATCTTCTTGTAGTGTTTGTACTTGAAAATACCTATCTAGGTTGAGGATAGAAAAAAGGAATTATATAATCAGAAAACAATTATGTGATAATGGGACACACAGATTCAGAGGTATGTAATCTCTCACTCAGTTACAGCATTTTTCAGATATCTTAAGACATTCAAGATAAATTTCCCCAGAGAAATTATTTCATGGAAGGATTTAAAAGCAAAACTAAGACTGGTTAAGCTGGAAGTGGGATGGATGGCAGGCTGGAGCGGCGTAGTGAAAGGAAATTGAAAGGGAAATGTTTCATGCAGGAAGCAAATGCAAAGGTCGTTTTCAGATCTTTGGGGTAATTTTAGTGTAGTGCTGCTTAAGGGCATCCGGGCAGAACAGCTGCCTCTGCATTAGCCCTTCCAGCCTTCACGGCAATAACTGTAGTAAGAAAAAAGGGAGGAAACAGAGTTTGAGCAGCCAACTGTATTATTTGATCAAAAGTAGTGATTTGTTTTTTAAGATTAGAGTGACAAATAATTTATATGCATAAATATTTTCTATTTTTTAAATAAGCCCTTTGTAAAACTTTACGGAAATTTGAAAAAAGTTAACAAGTGCACTGGTTTGAGGATTAAACTACTCCCTACTCAATATTGATCTTTATCTGAATTGATTTTTCATGAAATACTTGGGAGAGGGCTGAATAACATTTTAAAGCACTCTTTTTGTTCTTCCTGGAGTCCTGAGCTGTTCTGTTCTATTTTCTGCCATACTAGAGTGTAATTTTACCTTTTTAACGTGATTAGCTCCACATTTTCATAAATTCAAAACTCTTGTAAAATTTAGATTTTACCTGCAGAATTAAGTTTAAAGAACTACCTCATAGCTGAATTAATTTTCTGTTGCTATTATCTATCCTTGAACATTCAACTTTTTTAGCATTTTTAAATTGTGTGCGGAAGTCAGTGTAATTTCAATGAAGCTTGGATGATTCCTATTTCATGCCAAATAATGAAAAAAATAAGCGCGTGTCATTGCTTTATTTTCTTTACAACAAAAGCCTAGTTTTCTATAACACCATTGTATCCTTATTCTCAGTTACAGCAGCCTACAGGCAGAACAGAAAAGGCCTCTCCAGGCCCACAAAGCATCTTGGCACTGTTGTCCAACAGCAATCCCCTCTATCACCCCCTAGTCTTTCTTATTTCCTCAATACACAATTATAGCTATTCTTTTGAAGTCTGAATGCCTAGGTTTAGAGTTTCTGAAAGCCTTTTGTTCTAGGAGATTTAACACAGAGCTGCCAAATTGAACAGGCAGGGCTGATGTGCCCCGGGTGGGATGACCTGTGCTCAGCCCAACAGAGCCTCACCTTTCAGAGAACCTCTTCCTCACAGAACAGCAGATTCCTGAGTGGTATTCTTGCACTCCTTGGCCACTACCACCCCAGGAGCTCCAGGGGAGAATGTATCCACTGGCACCACACATTTTAATTTACAGCAATTACCTACCTTCCACCAAGAAACCATTCCAACTAAACCCACCATATCTCAGATGTCTACCACTCACCACAAGAATCTAGCACCCCTACCTCCTTAGCATGTCTTCCATCATCACCTGGACCACAGCACTAGCTACACGCACAACCTGATTCAATTTCTCATTCTTTTCCCTCTTCTAATCTTTCCACTGCTGCACCCATTGGAACACCTGGTCTCTCATCTTCAGTCTCTTCTTGGAAAATTTCCTTCACATTCTTTGCCAGTGGAAGCTGTTCTACCTAGCCATTTCCCAGTCTTTTCTTCTCTACCTTTAAAAATCTCTAACTCCTCCAAAGCTCCTGTCATCAACTTTACCATCAGCTATCCACTTTGTAGCAGTCTACCAAGATTTCCTTAATTAATAACTTTAGAACATCCCTCATTATAATCTTTTTTCTTCCAACCCCTCTCACCCCTTCTCTGGCTTTGGCATCCACATGATTATTCCGTCCAAGGCACTGGGCTCTGATTTACTGTACCTCCTCACCTCCAGTGACCTTTTCCTGCATCTTGCATCAATTACTAGCTCCTCTGTTCATCCCTAGATGTTATTATCTTCAATATCTGCACATTCTCATGTTTAAACATTTTTCTTTGTTTATTCCTCTTAACTTTCCAGTTCATCTACTTTAGTTATTAAAATTCTTCAAACTCAATCCAGACTGCTGATCCACTTTCTCTACCACTTTTTCACTATCTATCATCCCATTCATGACCTCACTTCCATCCTAACCCAACTTAGATTCCATACTCCGTTATTATTATAAGTACTCTCTTAAAAACACTGCTGACTCCCCGTTCCTCTCTCCTTTTGTTGTACTCTCCTGGAAAACACTTTGACCTTAATTGAAACCAATTATTTTCCTGCATTTTTCCTGCACTCAGCTGAACATGGCTGGGGAAACACTGGCAACTGCGTTGAGCAATCCCTTTTAAAATACATGACTAAATGGGCACTCCCTGTTGCCTATTACAAATTCTATTACATATTACTAGCTTGCCTACTTTTGCACTCTCCAAAAGGATATCACATCTTCTTCTCTTTCCTCACCCTCTCTGCATTCTTCCCTTGAATTTTTCACACACATTGAGAGATTAAAACAATCATCAAATGCCTAGTCTACTTTATACCCCTGGAATGTAAGCTTCCTAAAAGCAGGAAAATTGGTTTCCTTGTTTACTGCTATATCCTTTATATTTAAAATTGTGCCTGGCACACTGCAGTTACTTGAAAAATCTTTGTAGAATGGAAAAATGACTGCTTAAAATGATATATTTGATGTTTAATGACACAATGAAGCATTTAAAAACAATTATCAGTAAATTTACCAGCAAATCCAAATAAATAATAATCACAAATTTGTAATAGAAAGTTTTCCATCATCATGATCTCAATATTTTTCCCACATGACACATAATTAAAGGTCTAAGAAAGACTGCTTTCAGCATACCAAATTAAAATACTTACCAGATACTGACCATATGCAGTTTGCAGTGTCTTTCCTACAGGAACTTATAATCACTATAGACTACACAACAAATAATATATCAATTGGACCATGATTCACAAAGCATAGAGCACTTTACCATATATTGTCTCATTTGTGCCACAGAACAACTCATTGATATTATAACCAAGGCTTGGAGAGCTTAAGTATCTTGCCTAAGTCACTTGGCTGCTAAGTGGCCAAGGCAGGTATCCAAACCAGATTTACTGATTCAAAGTTCACTCATTTCATTATACAATGAAATTCACTACTCATTTCTATGTTCAAAAACCAAAAACTGTGTCCTGATATATATGAGTAACTCTAATTCAGTCTTCCATAACCTGCCTTCATGCTTCTTTCCAACTTGACATCTTGACTTTCTTCTACACACTCTGAGCTCCAGTGGGCTCATTCCCACTTTCTCCTTGAACAACACATCTTTCTCATGGTCATCAAAGACTTTTCCTGATGCTTTTGATATTCATTTGGGATTCTTTTATGCATTCTCTCTTTCAAAAAGGTCTCTTCTACCTTCTTTTCAACGAGATTTTCCCTAATATTTGCTCCCACAGTGGTTTTTCCCTTCCCTCCCCCAGAGCTCTTTCTGTTTTACCACTGAATCTTGTTATTAAACCATGTAAGTCTTATATAATCTGGTTTATGTAGAAGAGTTCTGAATTTTAAATGAGATCAAAAGCTTCCTTGGGCCAGCCCTGGTGGCCTAGTGGTTAAGTTTGGTGAGTTCTGCTTTGGTGGCCTGGGTTCAGTCCCCAGGCACGGACCTACACGACTTGTCTGTCAGTGGCCATGCTGTTGTGGTGGCACACATACAAAAAGAGGAAGATTGGCAGTGGATGTTAGCTCAGGGTAAATACTCCTCAGCAAGAAAAAAAAACCTTCCTTGAAGTCAGAGACTATGTCTTCTCTACAGACCCATCAATATGATAGTTATATATAGGAATCAATAAATATGAATTTCAGTAACTGTTTATGCATATATTACTATGAGTATTAGTGATTAGTAATTTAATTAACACCTGCATAGTATTCACAATCTATTTGTTCTCTCATCTACCTGGTAAATTTTTTTTAAAGTGCCTTATGTAAGTTACCACAGTTTGTCACATAAATTTTTTTGTATCTTAAAAATGGTTAAACAGAGAAGAGTAAATCACTTTCTTAGTCGTGTAAAAATCATCAGCATAAATCAAATTAAAAATCATGTTTATAATACATAATAAGTTCACAAACACATTTTAAAGAACTTGCAGAGGAAAACTCATAGGCTACTAAACTGGTTCCTAATTCCTGGATACACTCCAATATCCCAAATTACTTTCAAGTGAAGTCTAAAGAAATAAGAAAATTTTACCTTATTCCTCGTTTTTATGAGTGACCATCCCAGAACCAAATTAATGGGATCTTTTCTGTTTTATTTTGTTTTACTTTTTTTCCTTTAAATACTTTAGACCAAGTCAAAGTTTATTTTAAAATACTTTACTCAATACAAGGACATACCCAATGTAAAGATATAAGAAAAAGGCAAAGTTTTTTCCTCACTTTTAAAAATTTCACTTAAAGATGTTAACTTTGTGTTAGATTATTAATCTTATGGTTATAAATGTAACTGCATATGTTTTAGAATTATTAGTAAATGACCTTATCTCATACTAACACAAAACATCAAGCATAAAAACATCAAGAGGGGCTGGCCCTGTGGCTGAGTGGTTAAGTTCATGCACTCTGCTTCGGCAGCCCGGGGTTTTGCCAGTTCAGGTCCTGGGCATGGACATGGCACTGCTCATCAAGTCACATTGAGGCAGCATCCCACATAACACAACCGGAGTGACATACAACTAAGAATATACAACTATGTACTTGGGGGCTTTGGGGAGAAGAAGAAGAAAAAATCAGATTGGCAACAGATGTTAGCTCAAGGCCAATCTTAAAAAAAAAAGTACAATTCTATTGCTGACTATGACCAAACCAACGGATATCATATGTTATTTAGTTTCTAAGAAAATAAGGGATAAGAGAAGAAAATCTAGAAAAAACTGCCATACAATGACATTGCTTTGTTGTAAGATTAATGTCACCAACTTTTTTAAAAAAGTTAATGCTAACTCCTTTTGTCCTTAAAGCTTTTTAGATGCCTTAAAAAACTTTTAAAATCAAAATTTTCTATTCTTGCTCACTTTGTGGCTTAATTTTGTTACTTCAAGGACACATAAAATAGAAAAAAACACAAAAAGGAACTCATGTTTCAACTACATAAAATGACAATCACACTGTAAAAACAATCCATTATTAAATTTATAATCTCTTACAATATCTTAAGGATTTAAATAATCTTTGGCAGTTTAAATAGTTGTTAAACTAGAAGTTGATTCCTAACTGAATCTCTCTAGAAAGAGTCAGGAAGCATACATAAAATAAAAGCATAAAAGGAATTTCAGAAAAACTATCTATTCATTGGGAGAATAAGATAAAAAATAGAGGACAGCGTCATTTGTGACATTGAGAGAAAATTTGCTCAGTTATTGCACAAGTCACATGGAGGATGTTGACATCTTTCTCAGCAGCAATGAGAAAGGACCCTATCCTGGAGGGTAAAGAATATCAAAGTACCTGCCATGATAGCAAAGGGCCTTTGTCTGTGAGAAATAAAAGCAAAACAAAACAAAACTGGGAACAAATCCTCATCTCGTAAATGCCTCATAGCACGTTACATGTTGGCAGAGGTAGAATTTGGCAATATTTCTCTGTCCTTTATTTCCATCCTTGGGGTCACATAATTGAAACTGTAGTGAATCTGGTCCCATGGCTATTTCTTGCCATTAAGTAGGCTAAGCCATGCGAACTGATAAGATCACTGTGCATTCTTTTTGAAATACATAAGGCCACTACACATTTGCTTAGAATTAACATTTGAAGAAACATTATTAACATAATAAAGTCTAGAGTCCTTTTACTTTGAACTATATCATAAAGGTTTAAGCCAGTTTTGGCATAAAACTCATTCGTTTGGTAGGCTAAAGCTGTATTATTTTCTAGAAGAAACCAAAATTTTATGGCATTCATGCCAAACTAGGATTACACAGCCCCATATCACAAACATTGCTTAGCCAGAAGAAGTTGGAGGTCCTGGTGAGTGGTTTTCTAAGTGAACAGCCTTCAGAACTCTGCACGCCATACCTTCTTTACACGAGGAAGGGCATGGTGTCCAGTCACTGTATGGGGTCATGATACAGTCCTTCCTACAAGGAAGCAGACAGGGCCTCACTGTTTCAGGCCGAAGGCTTTCAGGACACCTGTGAAAAGCAAAGGGAATTTACTAAACCTCTATAGTAATCCAGAAAACCAGGTAATTTAATATCTTCAGGATTTTCATTGCTAAAGTTGCTAACCAGTCACCAATCTATATTATTTAACTTCCAGGAGACTTTCTGCTTTTGACAAGAACTATATGACCAAATTAATTCTTCCAAACTGGACCTCAATAAAGCTTCTCAAAGAAGGATGTGTAAATTTAATAATAGTTATTGTGCTATCTAGAAAAAAATATAATACTTATACCTTATCCTCTTCTAGTAATCTCTCCATTAATAAATTTGTTTTCTAACATGCTTCATAAGAAATTTGTGGAAATCCAAATTACCAATGTTTAAGACCCAATTCTACATCTTTGTATAACTAAATAGGCTGATTGGTGATTATGAGTTTCCAAGTTATTCTGCACTTTATTTTTACAAAATATAAAATAAACTTATAACTGAGTCTATTCTATACACACTACATGCTCAAAAATAATATTGTATTTACAGCTATATATTTCATAATAAATAAGTAATAAATTAACAAAAGTGTATAGATCATTATGATAAGCAATTTTTGCTTTATTCCTGGTTTCACTTAGTGTTTCTATTCTTATTTTTTCTTCCAGTTTGTTCTAAGTTTCAAATTATGAGATTTTAAATATTTTTATGTTATAATATTTTTTGGAACAAAAAGAGTGAATATAAGTAAAACCAAAATAGTCAACCAGTAATTTAAAGAAAAATGAATCACTGCCTTCTGGACATAAATTATACTAAAATTAACTAAATTATTTTTCTTAAACAGCAAAATTATATTATTTATTAGGAACACAAGTGAAAGATAATGACAGAACATTGAGATGTCTTACTTTATATAAGACTTTCACTTCCTAAAAGATAATTTTAGGAAGCTGATGTATGAGTTTTAAATATTCTATCTTCTTTATTGTGTACTTATTATCTGATTTTTAAATTTCCCAATTCCTCTCTGCATCTTCATGATCTGATTCTATTCTTGTTAGTGGTCAAATGTTGGCCATGAGCATTAAGACTAGAAGAAGATTCACATTACGACAACAAAAGATAATAACATAATTCATGCAACTAAAAGCAACTTAATGTTCTGATTCCTAAAAACTTCTCTTTTGAGGTCATATAAATTTCTGATAAGTAAGCTAAGAGGCATTAAAGAAGTAAACCAAATAACCAGTATAACTGTTCCTGGAATAACTTGGCAAATTAGTGAAAAATGGGATTTAAAAATACTCCCCATGTAGGAAGCCAAATTTTTTGCAGGTCAAGATAAATTGTCTTTTAACAAGTAAGTTAATCAGGTTTTCAGAACTGAATTATGAGTGAAAAAAATGAACATCATTAATCTCCTTCCCATAATTTCTTTAGAGGACTTTGCTGACACTTCATTTTTGATGTATCTTGTATCATATCTATTTATCTACGTGTCTTATCTCATACATAAATATTACATTCTGTTAAATTATATAGAGCCAAGCTTTCCTCTCTCACTATAACATTAGGGTTTATTTAGAAGTGGATTTAAAAAATATATTGGATTCAACATTTCAAAAAGGAATAATCTCCCTGGTTTAGGTTGAGGATAAGTTTGGATTTTCCTAATTGTTATGACTATTAAAGACATGGATGACAAATATATTTAGATGTGAATCATAGGAGTTAATGCATTGTTACAATTGAGATTATAAAACACTCGAATCGTAACTTAACCTGCATTATTAACCAGGAAATATTATACGGCAAAATCCCACATATAATCCTGTTATTCTTTTGGAACTATGGAATTAATGATTAGCGATTATTATTGGAAGCATTCCTTTTCAATGAAGCAACTTTATAACTTTAAAAATGAGAGAGCATTACTCGACTGCACATTCTTCAAATTTTAGCTCCAAATAAATCAATGGAATTTACAATGTTATTTACAATCTCCAAAATTCTGTTTTAGTTTAGAAATATCCACAGCAAGATACTTGGCTAACTGTGGAGAACAAAATTACTAACAACAAAGCCATTAAATGAATGTGCAAAGATAAATTATACAGCCTAGACTACATCCAATAAAATGAATTCAGACTTCCTTTGGGGAAGCAATTGGTTCAGTCAACATGCTTCTTTTCTCCCTTGTACTGTTTGTATTTAGTGTTTGTGGTTTAAATCAAGGAATTGATTTTCCCCCAAATCTCATTCAAGGTCAAATTAAACAGATGTGATAGGAGTTGAAGTTTGTTACTCGGAGGATAGATAAGATCAATAACATTGATTTTACCATTGCACAGTAATCTGTTTTATTAAGAGGAGTTTAAAACAAGGTTTCTATTTGCATTTTTGTTTCAAATGCCTAGTACTGAAAAGCATTCATTGAATTTAACCTCACATTTAGGCATAAGGGCAGTAACATTTTCTTTTGCGTTCACTGTATTTGCTCAATTTTTCGGAAATTTAAGGGCAAAGTAAATCCATTTGATTTAACAAATCTGTGTATGTATCCAGGTCATGGAATACAAGCTGTAAGGGCGGAGCACATTTTAAATGGATTACTGTGGTGGTGCCATGGGGCTTCAGGATACCTTCCTACCGAATGGCTTAATAACATGAATTCAGCAGGCTTTTTCACACACAGCCTTGTACACATGTACATCCACCACCCAGAAAATATTTTGTAGTTTACATAAGTGAGGAAAACATCAACAGCAAAGCTGTTGAAAGCTGATTAACTGTAAAACAGGACAAGAGTGAGCTTACTTGTAGAAGCTCAGCACGATCACCCTCCATCCTGTGCCACTACAGCTGGGTCAGGTTACAACCCTGCAACGGGTATTTCTACCTCTGTGCTTGTCCCAGGAAGACAATCCTCCAGGACCTGGGATTCTGCTCCTGCTGGTACTGCTAGTGAATTTTAATACACTGCACATTAATTTCCTTTGTTAGATTCATCACAACTTTAGCATTATTTATATTAAAATATTGGTTTGGGGCTACCTATTAAGCATGTGGAATAGTTTCTCAATTTATTCAGATCTCTGTGGCATACATTTTCTAATATGTTTCCTAATTTCAAACTATACAAACAAATAAAGTGTGGGGGGAAATATCCTTAATGTCTGGAACCCTAGCCAGGTAAAAACTATTCATAATGGGATTCTTATTTATCCCCTGGAGCTCTTCATACATCAAGTGCAGTATTATCATTTCCCTGAAACAATAAGAAGTATCTCGAATTTTTAAGAGAAAATAATTTCTAAGATTTAGTGAGTGCTTACATTACCACTATTTTTTTTCGTTAAATCCTTCCAATAAACTTTGAAAACTGAGGCCAGAATCAGTGAAGCAGCAACTTAAGATCGTACATAACCCTTAAGTATTTGGCCAAGTATTTGAAAATTATGAGGCCCTTTTTATACCAACGTAAAATTGACTGGTCTTACTTTCCACACTTCACATGGCTACAGTGATTTGAATTTTAAAAGGTTTACGCTGTCTTAGTCTCAAAACCTAAGAGGATTTTCCTCTTAAAAGAATACATTTTTAGAGTTGATTTATTAATTTTCTCTAGGAATTGATTAGCCCAGTTAGGCCGTGACCTGTTTTTGTTTATATTTCTCACAAGACACACATACTATGCCAACTCTAGTTCTTTGTCCTCCCCTCTAGCAAATCGTTTGCCTTGTTATTACACCATTTGTAACCACAGTGAGATACTGGTAAGTGGTTTTCCCACTTACCACAATAGTCATCGTAGTCCATGGCTCTCTCTTGAAAGTAAATGGCTTATTCATTTAACCATTAAAAGATGTAATAAGTTTGGCCTCCATATTTTTGATATAGCTTTTTTCTAGGGGAAATGAAAGGCAGATCATAGAAGGCTACTGCCCAATTAAACTCGATTGGCAGCCTCCACAGCCTACGGGTACATAGGAGGTCATGGATGACCTACACTGCTAGGATTTTGTACGCTGTCATTATTGATCAGCCAGGCCTAGAGCAAGCACTTCTTTCATTGCCTCACTAGCTTAATAAAAGCAGAAAGTGCTACTATAAAGCTGAAAGTAGGTATCATATAGAAAGATTTCCACAGAATTTATGGATCCCAGGTACAAGACTCTGGAGCTGTCATAACTTTACCAGTGGCTGACATTCAAAACAAACAAATCTTACTCTTGAGGATTGGTACGACAGGCATCAAAATGCTCCATTTCATGAAGCAAGTGAAGCCTGAGCCAATCCCTTGCTTGGTTGACCACAGGATTTACTATTGTCATTCTAAAGCCCTTACTTTTTGGGTCCCACTTGGCCCACATTGACCCGCACACAGATGACTTTTCTGGTCTGCATGCCGACAGAGCAAGAGGCCTCCCCATTCCAAGTTGTAGTTGTGTTGAAGGACGATACTGATGTGTCCTCGATGCACTGGCCCCAGGGACCAGTTTGCCAGTGGTACACAGTACAGGGATGCTCATTACAGCTGCGTACCTCTTGCAAAGCACTGCTGTTCGGACAGTGAACTCCACCTATAAAAACGGACATTAGCAGATTAGATATAGTGCCAACAGGAACCTTACCATTCTTTGTTCCCCAGAACTAACAATGATACCTGCCACTAATTAGCACACAGCATGTGGCTAGCACACTGCTAGGAAGGCAAATTACATATCAAACTTACCTCATTTGCCACGGTCTGGCTTAAAATTTAAACTATGCGGGGTATATGATATTTGTTTTGGAGGACCGTGGAGAACCTCAAAGGGAGAGGCCATTGTTTTCCAGAGAAGCTGAAAATGAGGTACAAATAAAGTCTCTGTGAATGCTGACCACGGGAGACGTGGGTATTGAGACTCTAGGTGAAGAAAACCCAGTGTGTTTGCAAATATTATCCCCCCAAATTGAAAGTCTTAACTACAGTTTTTAAAGTGCTGCTTATTTTAATGTATTAGGCATTAGGGTGATTAGAAACAGGGGTTTTAAAATCGATCGATGCTTTTTGATCTCCAAGAGCATTGCTGGAAAAGCTATGTAGTAATGATGATATCGTATTTCTCCAAATCCAAGATGTCATTGCCTATGAGATATATCATCATTTTATGTGTCCCAAAGAAGAGAAATGACTACGAATTAAACTCTGATATAATTTCTTGTAAACTCTAATTTTTATTGTGTGCTTATTGAAATAGCTTTATATGACTTATTTACACAGTTTTTAAAAACTATATTCTCTTTTGCATACATTAAAAGGGAAGGTATTCCCAAAACTTCTTCACTCAGAGACCAAATCTTTCGAGTCACATTTTAACCCACATTCATCAAAGTTTGTGTTCTCCCACGCAGTATCATTTCTGTGGCATCAAAAGTGTTGGTGATGCCAGATTTCTTACAAAGAGTGCTCCTCTGTTGTCTCCAGAGTTTTCTTCAAGGATACTGGTACCCATCACTAAGTTTTGATGCTGTTGAATTCTTAATTGCACCAGGTGTGAATGCAAGGTTTAAGTGAGCAACTGTGGAAGAAGGGTTGATTTTCCTTCCTCAGATAGTCCTTAGCAGTTTTTGTTTGCTTTTGGCAGAAATATCATAGGATTGTGATTGCCACCAGGAATAACAATGAAATTCACATATATCAGCACTGACAAATATATTACAAGTACTGTTCGGCCACAGTGGTTTTAAAATGAATGCATTGTAAGATGCAATAATTCCAGAGATGATAAAGGGTAAAAAAGATGTGTCTTTTAATCAATAGAATATGGTATGGAGGTGTCATTATGGAACCCTTTTTTATGTGCTAACCCCATTATAAGTACTTTGTAGGTGGGACTTCATTTCTCATTTTATATCCACAACTCCCTTACAAGTTAAAAATTATAAAGTGGATGAGCCCATATAGCTTAAATGATGTGGCCACAGTAACAGCCAGGAATCTGTGGAGCCCCGTTACTTACCACTATGCCATTTATAATGCCAATTATGAAAATAAAAAGCTTTATATTCTTCAAGCAGAGTATTGGAGGAATTAATTGCTTACTTTATTGGCAATCTGATCTATTCAAACTTACGCAGCCTCTGGATTTCATTTTAGGAACAGAAAATAACTGGTTGTTAATATGAAATAGTGGGAATCTTGGAGGTTGATCACAAATATTCATGACAGTAAATGGAGGAAATATTGCATATAATAAGACATGGGTTCTAGATATTAGGAAAGCAAGTTTCAAAAAGTTAAAAATAAATAAGAAAAGGTGATTCAATAGCTAGTGATCCTAACATGGAAGATGGCTCCAAAAGTTTGAGATTTGGGTAAAAGTCATAAACAAAACCATATTCTGAGCTGATCTTCAGGTATCACTTCACTTATGATTAAGGACATCCCTCTATTCAGCAAATAAATTGACAAGCAGTTTATGTGAGAATTTAACTGCAATTTAGAATCATTTATGCAGTGTTGAACATGGAATCAACATCAGAATAACCTGCATTAAACAGCATTTCATTAACGTCCCTGCTTCATGAAGGTGAAAACATCTGTCACAGTTCATATCCTATCCTCCATCACACAGCTCAGCGACCCTGGCAGCCTCTGAAAAGACGTTTAGGATTTGAATAGGAACGAATCCTAAACCATACTAATTGGATTGGGAGAAGGAAATGAGCACTCTTAATACCCATCCCCCGAGGGTCTAGAACGATCCAATGTTATCTCTCAGACAAACACAGGCTAAATATAGACGTTGTATAAATATACCTTTTATGCAACTATTTTAACCATACCTTTATATTTAACAGTAAAATTATTGATCTTCTATAAAAAATGTGTTTCTTTACTTACCCCATTTTCACTGTGAGTATATGTATGCTGTTTAAACTGTGATTTCAAAACTCTAAATTGTCTTTGACAGTAAAATTGACTGGTTGGCTTTGGAAAAAATGATAAGAAAAAAACTTGTACAACATCAGCATAATGTGTCTAGGAACTGCAAGATAGCTGTTAAGTTTACCTTCATAAAGGCTATTTATTTTCCTGCCCCAATCCACATTAAAGCCCCATCAGCAGTTTTGGTCTGGTGTCAGGATCCGTGCACAGATAAGCCCCAAAGTGGTCTTAATTATAACAATGATACGGCATTTTCGAAAGCATGGCTTGGAGTAATCAGTCATTGCAGCATTGCGTGTTGCTTTGGGAATGATTTGATGGTAGAAAAATTGATAGATATAATATTGAATTTATTTGTTATTTATGGGAAGATCTAGTTCTCGACATCTGGAAATATTTCCGTAGTACTAGGGAAGTTATAAAATGTCACTCATGACAAAATTAGCAGTAAGCCTAATTAAAAAAATCCTTTTATACATAAAAATATAAGCTTCATACGTATGTGACTAGGTTTTCTATCATTCCACCAAAGGGAAAGATTTTATAATACTTCGATGCAATTCTACTATATAAATAAACTTTCATGTGTAGATTAAAAATATCAACAATTATGTGAAACTTCTCTCTTAGAAATGAATAAGTGACTTTTCCTCCCCACATCAAGTCCATAAAAGCTGTGGTAGGATATATTTGAACAGAGACATGGTGTTTCTGGTTCTGGCATTGAAGGCTTTACAATTTAGATGGCAAACTGAAAAAAAAAGAACCTTGTTCAAAACATTAATTGGATACTTGATTGCAATATGCAATGTCTATGTCCGATGCATCAAGAGACACCTAAAGGGGTTAAAAATAGTTCCTGCTACTTTCAGGATCTTATAATGCAGTGGGGAAAGGTAGTAGGGGGGATAAGGTAAGCATACAAATGAATCTAATTCTAGATAGAATATGATAATTATGTTAAAAGAGGTATTTAGTATAACTGGGATCCAAACGTATGAGATTCTCTTAGTTTTGGGGGACTAAAAAATGCCTCAGGTAGGAGGCATTGAGATGAGTTTTGAAGGAGTAGGATTTCGACAAACAGAGTTCTTGGAAGAGAGAGAGAGGAAAGGGAGAATTTTATTTAAGCAGAAGAAAAAATAAATACAAGCAAAGGCATGCAGGCAGGTACGACCTTGGGAGTTAGCAGTTTTAATGCAGTCAGTTGGAGTGCAGAGGTCACGTAGGCAAGTGACTGGCAGCAAGGATAAGGAAGTGGACTGGGCTCATGTTAAGAAGAGGCTGTCAGTGTACTAGGAATTAGTTTTAAGATGCTTGTAACTTCGCCTGTTATTGCAGCTCAAATTTCTTTTACAGCAGACTACTGCTGGGTGGAAAGCACACTGGCAATAGCATGATTTCAGGGAACTGAAGTTCAGAAGAGCATGAAGCACAGAGAATCTCAGGAGATTCTGCTGCAGACTCTCCCCTCCCTCTGCCCCCTTTTATTCCTTGCACAAAGAGGTAAAAGACTTCTTACTGTGGAGTCTGCGTACATTCTGCTTGGTGGTCGTGTGGGGTCAATTGAAGCAGAACTCCTTTTTCAGAGTTAATAACGGGAGGATGAGGAAGTGATAGCATTTACTTAGAAGTCATCAGAGTTATGTGTGTATATACACATCAAATGGATCCCGGGTTCTTCAAATACCTCTAGGAAACAGCAGTGCTCCTCGGCTCTTACGATTAAAATCATTTAACTGTAAAAACTGAACAAGTTAAAATAGAAATGTTCCTCTCTTCAATGTTTTGTACTGCAAAGTATAATTTTTGAAGACTATTAATTATTTGAGGAAAAATGGCATCATTCTATTTGAATTTGCACCTCTTCTCTGCATGTATAAAAGCAGATGTTAAGGTACACTAAAATTTGGCTGAGGAAGTTATAATGTCAGGTCATTGTGAACTTTGCCAAAATAAATATTCTCTCATTTCTTAATTTGCAAGGATAATTAACTATACAATGAGAATTAACAGAAGTTGTTATACTCAGTGAAAAACATTTTGAAAATCATTTTTTTTTTAAACCAAGTTTGTTAAGGATCTATAACCTGGGTTCAAAAAATTGAGAAGGTTATAAACTTAACATCAGTTTTTAATTTTTTATTCTAATTCAATCTACTATTATTTATATTAAAAGTATGCCAGACTTAAGTGCTAAAAGATTGCTTCCTTTTAGAACTTCCGACATAATTTTAAAGTAGCTTTTGGGACCCATCCTACAGTTTACACAATACAAGGAAGATTTTTACCTCAAAGTATCATACAATGTTAAAAATCGAATTACCAGTTTTATTCAATCCGAAGTCAAGGCTTAGGAAGTAAGATACACACACACATACATACAATTTTTTTTTTTTTAAGTTGAAAAAAACACTTTTACTTTCTCCAGTATATTAACTATCTCCAGTTGTGACCATTCGTGATTTGATTTCAAAATGACAACATTTTAATAAGAAGCATTTTATGACAATTTTTGTGTATTGCAGATAATAGGCTACATAAGGTTGCTCAAGATTGTATTAAAAGCAATTATATTCAAATTGTTTTCATTATATTTTTTATGTTTTAATTTTGAACCAACCTCAAAATTACATAAAAATTTAAAGTATAATATCCATAATTATTTTCCCTGGACCATTTGGAAGAAGTTGTTGAAATGATGCCCATTACCCTAAATACTTTAGTGTGTATTTCCTGTAATCAAGGGCATTTTCCTACATGTAAGCACATTCAATGTCCAAGACCAGGAAATTAACACTGATACATTATTCCCATCTAATCCTCAGATCCATTTAAGTGTGTCAACTATCCCCAAATGTCCTTCACAGCAAAAAATCTAGCTCAGAATCAAGTGTGGCAGTTAGATGCACATCTTGTTAATCCCCTTCAATATGGAATAGTTCCTCAGTCTTTCCTTAATTTTCATAATTTAGACACTTTTGAAGATTAAGGGCCAGATATTTTGTACAACGTCTTTCAGTTAGGGTTTGTCAGATGTTTCCTCACGATTAGATTTTACAACATGCATCTTTGACAGAGACATCACAGAAGTGATGCCATGTTCTCACTGTTCCACACCAAGAATGCACGATGACTTTTATTTGCTCCATTACCAAACATGTAAACTTTGATCACCGGATTAAGGTGGTGTCTGTCAGACTTCTCCATTAGGGAGATACCTGAGACTGTGAATATAAATGCTCTTCATCAGATGGTCAACTAATACATTTATTTATATCAAGTATGGATCTGTGGTTTCCTATCTTATTTAATGGGTTATAATCCATTATAATTATTTTGGCATTCAAATTGTTCCCATATGTGGCCAGTGGAAGACCATGCTAGCTAGCTTCCATGACCTTTTGATGTGTTCCACTCTTCCTTCCTTTCTGGCACAAGATCTTCCAAGCACATCTTGTACTTTTCCTGTCCCAGCCCTGGAATCAGCTATTTCTCCAAGGAACCTTGGTTCCTTTTATTGGAGAATATTAGAAACCAAGATCTGAGTGCTGAATGTTCTTACTGCTATTGGGGTCTTACTGCACTCAGGTCCTTTCAGTAGATAAAGCTAATTTATGTATATAATATAAGTATATATTTATCATACTTACGTTTGCATTTATTTCTATATCTGTCTTTACAAATTGAACACCATGAATTCATACTCATAACTTCCAATTCCAATACAATGTGGCAGGGTTTATTCTAGTTTTCATTCTTAACATATTTGTAAATCCCTTCTCCAGAAACAAGAAACCCAACTCCTGTTATTTTTAATAGATATATTTATTTGGTCAACCCCACCTCCCTATCTCCCACTGTCATCTCCACTGTTGTACATACAGGAAGTCCTCATTCAGCTCATGCTTTGACACCCTGCATCAGGCCACCCTACACTACAGAAAGCCTCCTCAACCATGCCTGGCTCCGACAGCCCACATTGGGCTGGTTGCCTCAATGCTAGGATTCTCTCCTTACCCTGCTTGTGCTTGGACATCCTGTGTTGGGTCACTGCTTTTTACCCTCTTGTACAATCCATATGCCCCTCCCTTTAGCCTACTCAGTGTCTCTGACACTCATACCAGGCCACTCTTTTCCCACGAGGGAGGCCTTCTCACCCAGGCTGGGCTGTGACAAGGCACTCTGGACTACTGCAGACGCCCCACCTGCTGGCATAGATGCTCAAGTGCCTGGCTCCACCTAAAGGCTTTTTAGATAAAATTATTCAGGAAGGGAAAGAGCATAGAAGGGAAAAGAAGGAAAGGGAAAAGAAAGAAGGATAGTATGAAGAAGAGAAAGTGTTATCCTATTATTCTATCATTCTTTTGACAGGAATAAAGAAATAATAAAAGTCATAACATTTTAACAATGGAGAGTTTATTGACTGAATTGGGACCATATGGAATGTGCTTTATCATATATATATGGACATAGATATAGATGTAGACACACATATGTATACACATACACAAAGAGAAGACTGAGTAAACCAAGGGTAAGACCAGTAGCCAGCACTCCTCTGCTCCATTTGAAATTACATTCAGTTTCAAGTCATGACTGTATGACTTGCTTTGACAATGAAATGTCGGTGGAAATGACATAAATCCCTTCTGGAGTGCTGATGCTTTTAAATCAGCAGACAGACTCTCCAACTATCTTCTTCCTCTGGCATGAGGACCTTGAAGTAGGTCTTAATATGGAAGTGTAACGCTGAGACATTTTATGGAAGACAGACTGCCTTGGAGAGTTTCCCAAGACTGTGGCAAAATTCCCATGAGGAAGAAATAATTGTTCTGTTAAGTTACTGAACTTCTGGGCTGTCTGTTACTGCAGCACAAGGTAGTCTGTCCTTATTAGTACAAGAGGTTACACAATCTTCAGGACAATGTTTAATGGCGACATTCTGACTGAGATGAACAAAACTATAGCTTGCAGCATTTATTTTGTACATGGACTTGTCCTGTAACTTATTGCACTAGAAAAATCACTTAATTTCATGTCTAAACACTCAATATATAATTTTGCTAATGTGATCTTTTCCCTCAAAGTTATCACAATAATGTTTTTATCTATAGAAAATTAAGAAAACTTATGACAAACATAAAATATTAATTCTTTGGGAATAACAGAAAGACCTACTTTTGCGTAGAATTATAAAGGGTTATCTAATTGGCAGGGAAACATTTTAAGACTTCCTGCAATTATAGTTCCTAAATCATTTAAAAAACAGCTCAGAGTTATGAAAGACTTATCCTGGAGGAAAAAAAATTTGTTTCAGTGTCCAGCAAATAATAGGTATTAAATAAATAGTTTTTGAAGCATATTCATTAAATATTTTACATACTATACCAGTTTTTGTAACTGTTATTAATAGAGAAAAATAGCAGAAGATTCCTCATTGACAGAGTTTCCTCTATGGTTTCCATTTAAAATTATGTTTTGAATTCGCGCCTTTATGATTTACTATATACACATCTATAATTTTCAAGCATGGCTTGCTTATGATGCAGTTGCTGGACTTAATTAAAAATTATTGAAGTCCCACCCTTTCAAACTAAGTGGATGATACATACCAAAGAGCAATCATAAATTTCTGCCTTTAAAGCATTTCATGACCTTTCAGTGTGAGGCATCATGTCTATAGAAATAATGATCTGGTGAGTTCTGCAAGCATGGCAAAATCTCTGCCATGTGACTCACGGGGCGAAAAGTCACTCATTACTAGTCGCACAGCAAGTGTCTGCACAGTATAATGGATTTATAGGAAGCAGGGTGACCACAGATCTAATTTTAATGAAGCCCAAGACATAATCTGAGCTGATAGAGTTTGAAGTCTGAGTATAATCTATACAAGGTTAGAGTTAGTGTTTGACAACACAGGGAATGTAATTTTCTCTCTAAAAGGTTCTATTTTTTATTAAGTGCCATAGATACACCTTTTTTGGGTAGCAAATAGTTAAATTTATATTAAGGTGACAGGAAAAAAGTTATTAGGCACTTTAAATAAAATTTTCCCATAGGTTTAAATACGTTAAATTTTTCTCCTATGTCTTAAGGCCAAGGTAGTTACATTTTTGCATAGACATTGCATACAGATAGTAAGTTTGACCAAATAAGAATACTATCAGGTTTCTATCACTAAAGTGCTTCATCAACAGAAAAATAAAATAGGCAACTTAAAAATTCCTCCCAAACTGGGTATACGTAGAGAAACACACGCTTATTACAAAGAGAAATCATTATTTGTTAGCGCTAGATGTGAATGGGGAGAATAGTCATTCAGCTTGATAATATTTAAATAACATACGCCTATATTCTTGAGACAGAACATGCCTTATGTGACAGAACGTGACTTACTTCTCTGTTTTCCTTACTCTTGTGTTATTTCCCAGAATGACGAGATTAAGTACGACAGTATAGCACTCAGTCACAGGGAGGCGAAATTAGCATTTGGATATAAGCTTGAGAGACAATTACTAAGAGCCTTGCATTTCTCGGCAATAAAGCTTGCACAACAGAGGTATGAAAATATGACAAACATGCTTTATTCATCCAATAGGGTGAAGTGATTTAGGAGCAATATATTTTAAAAATAAAAACAATGTATGAGACTCCTGGATCTCAGAGCCTATGTTCAGAAACCTGAATGGTAGAAATTCCATGTCATTTTCAGTCAAGCAACAGCCATGGTGGTGTTTATCTTAAATAAACTTTATTATTGAACATAGATGCCTATTTTTGAGAAGGTAGGAGGTGATTTCAAAGGGAAAAACTATTGAAATAGAGACTACTGAAATAGAGAAAAAAAATGAAAGCTGGCATTTGGAATTTTGGGAGCCATTTTCAGACCTTTTCACAGGTTTAACACTTTGAAGTGGAAAGAACTTGAATTATTAGGAGGAAGGAAAGGCAAATTAAGTTCACGGTTAAAAGTCTTTCCTCTTTTTTTAAAGATCTATTTTTAAGATTAATTTTGGGGAACAGAAGCTAGCTGCCCAATACGTCAACAGATGTTAAATCTCGGATTGCTGGATTTGTGGAAGTTGATTTTTTGTAGACCATCATCTTATTCAAACTAGACAAAGAAAAACGCATGCCAACGTCTGAAAGAAACCTGAGTCCCTTCTGAAGCTGGTGACCTTACCTTCCTCACCCGCATAGGCCAGAATGGACCGTGCTCGTATCTGTTTCCCTTCTGTGGTTTTCCCTGAGCAGGTGTGTGAGCAGGAGGACCACGTAGACCACGTGCTGAGCACACAGTCCTTGGGGCACGGGGCATCACAGGCAACAGGGATGGGAAAGATGGCATCTCTGCACAGCTGTCTGTCAACTTCTTCTCCTGGGAAAGACATCATCACCAACAGTCTATCATTTTTAAATAAATGTAAAATGAGCAATTGAAACCAGATGGGCACCCAGATAAATTAGATTATTTCCTTTTTGTTCTTAGTTAAAAACAAAGCCAAAAGAGCTTCTTTTATTCTTTTATTAAAATCAGAAGCTTTAGGTGTATAGATCAAACACATCACTGAAAGTATTTTTATGCTACAGATAATCGGCCCAATAAGTGATTTTTATACTTATAATATTTGGCTTGCAATAAGGAGCATCAATGAAATATGTTCCCGTCTTTATTTCAATATTGGAGATGAGCCATAATTTACAAATAACGACTTTATCCATAACATGTACCATATGTTTTCATGAACCAACTCATAGATATCTTTATTTGCAAACTCTCTCCTGTCTCCCAAAGAATTTATTTTTGTGTGATTGGAAACCTTTTTCTTTCGTTTAAAAAAACCAGTTTGTTGGTTGGAAATAGCCAAAAAACATAAATAATAGGATAGCATTATAAAACCACTGCTTAGGGCAGTCCCATTGAGTGAAGGGAAGAAAAACATCAAGGCAGGCAAGCGGCAGAAATAAGATGGTGTCACTCCATGCTTAAAACTCTTCAGTATATTCCCATTGCTCTTAAGATAAAGACCAGATTTCTTAAAAGTTTCTAAGACCTCAAATAACGTGGCTGTTTCCTTTCTAGCTTCATCTCACTCCACTCTCTCCCTTGCCCTCGAAGCTCTAGAGATCAGCACTCCTCCAGTATTTGTTGAATGAATGAAATGAGATGTACAAAAGATCAATGAGAAAGAAAATATTGTTATTGTTAATAAATACCAAAGATAGGCAAAAAAATTACAAATAAATGTGCAAAACAGAGTATTAAAAAAAGTCTGAACTCTGTAACGTAGCTGGCTAATGTAGGGTGCTAATGAGGTCAATAGAACAGAGTAAAACAACATACAAACAAGTAAAAAAATCTGCTATTGTGCCACAGAATATAACTATAATTCTGAATGAATATATCAGAAATGTGTGCCTGGAGGCTTCAGGCATTCAGGTGAGAAAAGGTGACTAACCGCACCATTCTTCATTGTTTTAAGCAAACAACTCAAAGCTGTTTCTCACTGGTGGAAGGTTAGGAGCATCATTTTAACATACTGTCCTTTATGCATATATTTGGAAAACAAGACAGAAAGTCAGAAGTCAATTGGAAATGCTCTAACATGTTAATAGCTACTAGTTTGCAGGGCTTTAAATCATTAGTCAAAATCAGAATTCAGTTGGAATGCACTCAGTGTTAATAGCCACTAGTTTTCAAGGCTTTGAATTATTAGACTTGCTCACCAGTAATAAGTAAGACTCACTAAAATGACAATGGAATCATCATCATATAATTCATTCTTCTTTAGTTACTCTGATCTGTGAGATCTCTTTTAATTCTGCTTTTATTGGCTTTAGGGTTTGGCTTACATCCCGGTAAGACAATATGGTAGATAGATTGTAGATATATAGGTTCCTAGGTAAAGCACAAAAATCATTATAATATAAGGCATTTAATATTTTGCAATTTACATAATAATGCTGAGTCTTTTTTCTTCTAGACTTTTTCTCAGTGCAAGCAAGGACTAGCATGTGTCTTATCTCCTTCGCTGCTATCTTTTATTGTTCCATCTACTCTCTTTCACTTTAGTTTTCAATACTCTGTGTAAAGTAAGGCAAGTTTGGGGCTACAGTTTACAGTCAACCAGGAATTATAGTTTTATGTCTTCTCTAATAGTTACTTAATCATTTCTACTCAGAAAAATGTAATTCATTCTGCAGCAATTGAAAGTGTGCTACATGTGTTCTATCGGGTTAATTTGCATGCCATAAGTGATATACTTCTGTTTCTCGCAGTATAAACCAAAGGGATGTACAGTTTTAACACTTCTTGCTTTTTAAGTGATTCTTTTTTCTTTCAACCTGTATCCCATACCTTCTGTTAGCTCCTTTTCATTCTTCATACTCTGCTTAGCTAGGCGTATTTTTCTGCAGGCACATTCCTTCTAGAGGCAACCTTAACCCTCTATGGACTGTTAAGACCCACCTTGGATCCAACCTCGAAGATTTCTCTAGATTTCAGCCCTTACTGCATGCCTCCCAACTTTGCCAGGTGTGATCTTGCCCCTGTGTGCCCCTCCCATTGCTCTCGATTGTCCACCACTGCCTTATATCCAAATAAACACATTCCGTTCTAGCCCCAGTGGCTTTTTTCCCTTTCCTCCTACAGAACAATCTCATTATTGCCTCAGGGCCTTTGCATTCTGTCTGGACTCTGTCTGAAAATTTCAGATCCTCACGCAGCAAACTGCTCCTCAACGTTTAGGTTTCAGTTCAATTGCGTGCTTCCTAGAGGAGCCTCAGTTAACCGTACGCAATCTCACAGTAACTTCATTTTCTTTTTGTTATAGTTTTAATTCCCACTAGAAACTATTTTAATTAATTGCTTACATGTTTTTGTCTGATCCTTCCACCAGATTAAAAGTCCAATGAGGGCATGATCCTTATCTGACTTGTTTGATATTTTATACTTTGAACCTAAAACAGTGTCTGGCACATAGCACACACTAAATAAGCTTCTGCTAAATGACTTAATGAATGAATTAATTTTAAGCTGTTGTGCCAGGAAACAGAATGCTAGACTAAAGAAATATGAATTGAAGTACAGTATTTCTTAAATTGCCATGCATTCAAGTGCCCTAGGACTCTGCTAAAGTCTATCAGTGGACTGGCAGCATATGCATCACCTGGAATCTGCTAGAAATGCAGTCTCTCCGATCTCACCCATGGAATCGTAACTTGCATTTTAAACAGATCCCCAAGTGATTTGCATGCACATGAAATCTGAGAAGTATTGCTCTAGGATTTTTCTGCTTTTGTTCTCTTCTGGTATGATCACAACCAGACTGCCTCTCGAAAGAGCTGCTGTATAAACACATTCATCTGGATTTCGTACCTAACATCATTCGCTTCTCTCTGGGACCTCTCTTTATGCTTCTCTTTATATGGAGTATACTTGGATGAAAACATTCATTCAGTGAATAGTTACTGATTGCTCATCTTTTGTCAGGCACTGTGCTGTGAATATTGTATACATCATTTCAGCTAATTGTCACAATAACCTTTTTTTGGAGGTATAATTAACATGTAACATTATATTAGTTTCAGGTGTACAACATAATGATTCAATATTTGTATATATTGTGAAGTGATCATCACAATAAGTCTAATTAACATCCATTCTGACACACAGCTACAAATTTTTTTTCTTCTGATGAGCACATTTAAGATCTACTCTCTTAGCAGCTTTCGAATATACAATACAATTATTAACTATGGTCACCAAGCTGTACATTACATCCCCATGACTTATTTATAACTGAAAGTTTATACCTTTCACAACAACCTTCTGCCAAAGGTATTAATTTTTTTTTCTTTTACTTTAAAGGAAGTTGAAGCTCAACAAGTTTAAGTTTACTTTCTCAGCAGAAGTTTGAGTGAAAAAGCAGAGATTTGAATTGAGTTCTAATTAATTCTCCGACCTACTTTTTAACTGGTATGGTGGTAAGGAGAACTCGAGATGCCAAGGAACTTAACAGTTGATGAGCCTTTGTCAACAAAGAAGTCAAGAAACTGGCACTTTAAGTTATTTTTCAAGGTACAGTGATGCAAGGTGGCAGCCAAACACTGCCTCACATACAAAGAGCATGCATTGTTGACATGTCCAGAGTTACATATTTTGGCTTATTGCCATTGAAGAAACAGCAATAGATCTGTGAAAATATGGAATCCTTCAGATCTTTGACTTTGCTTTCAATGGATGCTTTAATCAACTCATCTAACTGACCACTAACTGGAACCCTAGGAGCTGTGCTCTTTTTAAGCTAAATCTCCAGCATTCCAGGCATAAGTCATCTGGGAAACATCAGGAAAAAAAGTTGCATCTATGGCTATTACAGGTAACTCTATATCTTGTCATCTCCAGCTACTTTCTGAGGCTGTTGCTTCTATCTTATTTTATATACAAAAAGTGACCCTGGAAATAAGATCTTTACTTATAAGAGCTCTAGAAAATAATTTTTTCCCTCTTTCTCACATTAAAACTTGTTTTTGGTTGATAAACATTATTTTAATTAGATAAGAACTGTTTCGCATGACATTATTTCAGAGAATAGACAGCAGTAAATTAAACTTGCACATATCCAAATATCAGGTTAATTTATACTCTTTCCATATACAGAAGTGGGAATTTTGCTGCTTTGCACTTTGGAAATTCCATTTTTCCATATCAGCTGCTCTACTCTTAGGAGATTTTCAACCACCATATGTCCCCATTACAGAACCATTTGAGACTTTGATTATCTGAGTGTGCATCCCAATAAATCTGGGCAGACACATCCGATTATCATTACAGTAAATGATACAGTTCTACAACTTACGCAGGCAAAGACCAATGCAACTTGTTTTTCTTTCTTTAGTCTTTCTGAGGACAATTTCTTAGCTACATTCTGAATGTGATGTCATAAACATTTACAATCCTCCTCACACTTGCCTTTGTGTATTAAACATACTATATTTTGGGGGCATGCATTGACTAAAATAAAAAGTTTCAAAGGACTGTTTTGCATTTATGAAACTTGTTTTTTCCCCCATGATGCTCTAGGCATTTTAACCAAACCTGCAAAAATGTATATTTTACGTGAAATGTAACAAGAAAGCAAATGAATGAATCATTGTCTACATATTACAACTTAAGTCTTACTTTGATACCTTAACTGAAGCATATCTGGTTTAAACTTATTTGTGATACCCTACACAGGAAGTTGAGGAAAAAAATGACAATGCTTAGGTTTATTTCTTTTTATGAACTCAAAACCAGAATTAAATGTTTATGTTGAGGTCTCCCCATTTAACCTCTTTCTTCACAAATACAATTTTAAGAATGTTTTCAATAAT